TAATATCTGTTTTATATTCATGTGAAAACATCTCCTTCAAACTGCTGGATTCATTCTAGTTTATCACCAAAACTACATTTTACAGATGACATGTGAACACATCATGATAACGTTATAATGTACCTTCAGCCAGTACTCGTGTTCACTGAGCAGAGCCTGAAGGCATCATGATGTACCTTCAGCCAGTACTCGTGTTCACCGAGCAGAGCCTGAAGGCATCATGATGTACCTTCAGCCAGTACTCGTGTTCACTGAGCAGAGCCTGGATTTACTCTCTGATGGTTAACATTAAACCGTGTCGTTGATTTCAGTTTCACGACGCGGTAACCGTCCCACCTGTCTCTGCAGAGTGACGGCGTTGAAGGACTGGTGTCCCTCTACGATCCGGATGAGCAGGCCGATCCACGCGGAGGTGCTGAGCGTGCTGCACATCTGGGGCATGAGAGCGATGCTGCGTATGAAGCCCAGCGTGGACCAGCTCCTGTGCTGCTCCCGAGCGACCAGCCTGTGGGAGTGACAGCCTGACAGCAACGAGGACAAGTCAGATTTAGAACAAAGTAATCATTTAAAAACTAGAAGAAGAGACTCTGTACCACCGTGGCGGTTCAGCTACCTGACTTGTCGTTGGCTCCGCTCTCCACCAGCGTCCTCAGGAGTCCACAGAGGGTCCGGGTGGCGTCGGTCTGCAGCACCTCTGCATAGATCCCAGCTGTTAGAGACAACGTCTTCAGCAGGTTCACTGTGCTGGTCAGCATCATCGCTGTCGGGTGGCTGCTCTTCTCCATCAGCTCACCTTCTAGGATGAACAAAGGACTTTTGTTATATCTTAGTCAGTCTTCAGAGTGCTTTGTTACAGTTTGTTTGTTAGGGCCCGGTAAGATGTAGCTACAGACACACACAGAACACACGGCTGGAGAACAAAGGACCATAATGATGAAATCTCTTTTCATCAGACCCGAACAGCTCGATGGTTAAAAGGCTTTTGATCTGCTACAATATTTAAACAATGTTCTTGTCATTTAATTCTATAAAACCAGACTTCATGTGAGAAACAACGCGGTTTAAGCTCAACGCTCACTTTCTGTGCTTTAGCTTCATGAGAGTTAACGGAGCTTCATGTCGGCTCCTTCTTCAGCAGTGATTATATTATTAGAGGAGCGACGGTGACTGATGATGAAATGATTAACAGTCAACAGATCATTGGCCATAATTCTGACTTTAACAGTTGAGGCACTCAAATACCGGCACACTGGTAATAAGAATGTGACATCATACACTGTGATGTAATGTGAACGCTGTGGAGGAGGACTCGCCGTCCAGGAGGTTATGGTTTCATTCTGCTAATCGACAAATTCTGGAATGAAAATGAAAGTAGTTTAAATATTAGAAACGTGCTCACAGATAAACCCGACTTCAGTTTCATGCTCCATTGAGCTTCATCCAACTTGGAGAACCGGGTTAACCCAACTGGTAAACAGCAGCTCTGCTACAGCTGACAGAACCTGGTGCGCTGACAGAACGTTCCGGGTAAAACTCTCGCTCCAGATTTTCTGTTCCACGTGTGAGAGAAGTGGACCCGAACAGACGTTTGGGTCACGAGGCGCAACGGAAGATAACCGAACGGTTCCATACAAATACACACCGTTACACTCCGATATGTTGCAGCTGAAAAACTGAAGTTAAGTTACGTTCATTATTAGTTCATTCATTCACCAGGCGATACTGTTTCAGGTTAGCTCTTCACCGCTCCTTTAGTTTAGGATACTAACGCTGCCGGTTGGTACTGAGCCAGTGTCGTGAACCGACCTGTGTCATCCTCCGTGTCAGAGTCCTCGGTTGGGGGCTGGGCTGCTGGTGGCGGCTCTGCCAGCTTCAGGTCATATTTGCCCTCTTTGCCCATCCTGTAGGAGTTGGTGCTACTGGTATCCCACTGGACCCTGATCCAACCGTCCTCTCCCAGCTCCCCGATGACCCGGCCGAGACCCGGTGCCGGACCGTCCTGGACAGAACATGTACGAGGGTCACATGCTAAACATTTTTCCTCCTCTGCTTTACGTGGTACCAACGTGACTGTCGAATGGATCCACGTACCTGATCGCCCCACTTCCAGTCGACCCCCCTCATGACCCGGGTGCCTATCTTCATCATGGAAGCCAGCTCTGGGCCCGAGGCGGGTAGGGGGGTCGGGGCCGCTTCCTTTCTGGACTCCTCCAGTACTGTAGCGGAGCCTCCGTGTGCACATAAACTCAGGTCCTCCTCACTGCTGTCTGTGCTGGGCCCTGGAGACACGACGACAGGAGACACAAACACCTCCGCCCATGAACGAGTGCAGACGTAGAGGACAGTAATGGATCCGTGAGCCGTACTGAGCCCCCTCACAGATTATCGTTAACCATCAGAGTGTAAATAAAGTTCTACTGACGATGGTTCTCCTCCAATATTCAGTAAAACATGTGTTTCTAGTCTCTGATAATGTTAAAAAAACTCTCACTATAACAAAGTAAAAGTGTAAAATGTAGTATTTTGATAGTTTCTTGACTTCAGAGCGTTGAAGTGATTTTAGGGACGGTGGTGATCCTGTAGACCAGCTGCTGTAATCACACATTAAAGGATCTGTATCTGTTAATATCGATCATCAGCGATCGACGGCAAAAAACACGATCGAGGATCTTTTTTCTTTTGTGCTGATCCAAACTGACTGTTATGCACTCGTCCGGGTCGCCTGTATGTACTGGACGGTACTCACCTATGAGCCGGAGGATACTCTGTGTGAGGGCCAACAGGCCCGAGTTGAGTAGGAGGCTGAGGCTGTTGGACCCGTGTTTCAGGGACAGCATGTGGACCATGGCCAGAAGGAAGCGGGCTTGAGGAATGGTGCCAAGACTCGGTCCTGCTGGGTTTTCATTGGTGATGGTCTGCAAGGGAACCGGCTGCACGCCTGCGTACAAACACCGAGTCGGTCCGTGTGGAGGAATAAGTGTATTGTACAGGGAGCAGACACGCAACTACACACCACTCACCGAGCTCTTTGAAGCGGACGCCGGCCTCCAGCAGGATGTTGCGGACGTTCTGGATGGCCCAGGAGTACAACTTGCCGAAGGTCACCTCCAACAGCATGCGGTTGAAGGGGGGGATCAGATCCACGTCCTTCAGGCAGTCAGACAGCGGCTCTCTGAAAAACACCACCATTAGACCACAACACGGAGGCTACAACAGACAGCAGGTCTCTAAAAACAC